GAGGGAGACCCAATTCCAGATCATTCACAGGGCCCATGTCCCGTTCTTTCACGCTCCGGATGTCAGGGCCGTGACCTCTCCCGTCCAGTCGATGACCTCCACTTGTCCGAAGTGTGGGTGCCTCAGACCAATATTGCATCATTGCTTGTGGAGTTGTCCCTCCATATCCCACTTCTGGACACAAACGCTAGCGTACATCAAATCCATCCTCTCCTGGCAACCAGATTTAGATCCTGCTCTTTGTCTATTTGTTTTCATTGCTTCTTCTGGAGAGGGTCGGGGACCTTCGCGGGGAAAAGGCATGGACTGGGCCCACCTTTGCCTTCTGACGGCGAGACGGTGTATAATGAGGCACTGGAACTCTCCAATGGCCCCAATGATTGCATAGATTACTAAGGATCTTAAACTGCTGTTGTGTAAGGACAAACTGGATGCAGAGATGCATAAAGATGCCCGCTCTACGCCTTTCCTATCAAGATGAAGATATTTTATCAGTAGCTCTTACTCTGTGGAGGAAATCCACCAAATTGTCAAGCCCTTCCGCTACACTAAATGGTACCTGACTAATGCCATGTTGAATGCCTTGGGGGTCCTGCAGATAGGCCAAGATTGACAACCTCCCTCAGAGGAATGCCTTAGAGAAATGTGGGTACTGCTTCATGTCACTGCACGGATACTGTTCATTGTGCTCAATACACCAAGTATATATTTTTTGATGAGATGTTATGGATGTGATCAACCACTGCACTGTATGCCTATTACTTTGAAGTGATGACGTATGCTTTACTACTGTAAATATTGCTGAAACTTTAATAAAACGTTTTCGAAAAAAAAGACTCGCCAGCTGACTTCCCAATTAGCAAGGAAGCCGTCTTCATGCTTCCTCGTCACTAGGTGACGAGGAAGCATGCAACTGGCTTTCTGGCCAATCAGGAAGCTGGGGGGCGGGTAATGACTCGCCGCCTGGCTTCGCAATTGGCCAGCTTCTCGACCAATCAGGAAGCCAGGCAGCGAGTCATTACACGCTGCCTGGCTTCCTTAATGGGACTTCTTCTACAAATCTTCTACTACAATAACAAAAAATACAGATAATAGTAAGGATGAGCAAGTGCCTGCGCTGCTGATTAATTTGGGCTAGGTTCACACCTGGGCGACCCTCACCGCGCGGCAAACGTGCACAATTCCGCGCGGATTGCCGCGTGATCAGGAGCCGCCAAGGTGTGAAACAATCGCGCTGTGGGTCCCTTTATATTCGAATGGCACCCCAGTTGTGCCGGGTGGATCATGCGGTTTCCCGCCCGTGCTTCCGAACACGATCACGGCTACAACAGCCGCGCATCGTGTATCGCACAAAAGAGGTCCCGGGTGTTGTGTGGTGTAGTGCAGGTGTGAACCTAGCCTAAATCTACTCCCATGATCTGCAGGGATCTAAAAAAAGCAAAGTGCTGCCCTCTAAAGAGAGCAGCTCTAAACGCTATACCTCTTACCTTGTAGCCATTGTAAGAGGGATCACTGATCGCTGAGTATTTGCTCTCGCTGTCACAGGAGGCTGAGCGAGCGGTGCGGGAGGAGAACTCCTGTGACAGCGCGGGCTGTCTCCACCCACAACACAGCTCTGCCAGACTGTGACAGGAGGCTGAGCAATGTGGGAGGAGAGACGCCGGCCGATCACAGCGCTTTCCTCCCGCTGGGCGCTGCTCTGTGGAACACAGAGCAGCGCCCAGCGGGGAGGAAAGAAAGCAGGCATGCGCCGCTGTAGCGGCAGAAAAATGGCACTTTTGGCATTTAGCCAAAAGTGCCATTTTCGGCCAATATGTTTCGGCGGCCGATATATCGGTGCATCCCTACTTGTTATAGAGGTTTATATATCAGACCAAAAATTGCGACAACTGAAGTGAAATAAAAGACTGACCTGGTTCCATAAGAGGGACATCCCCCCAAAATGAGGGACAATTGGGAGCTTTGGTATGCATATGTATGAATTTATAAGGGAGAAGCCACATTCGACAAAAAATAGTACATTCGAATCAAATCATACATTGAGTTATATGAAGAAACAAACAAAACAGTATATGGCCAGCTTAAGTCAATAGTGGTATCGCTTTATATAGCCTCACCTCAGCTGGTTAGCAGACTTCTTTATGCATTTTCCCAAGTGAATTACCAGGTCCCTGCAAGGATTCAGCTTTTTCCCACTTTCACCTTCCAGCAGAGTCACTTGCCCTGCTACTCCATCTTGGGTCAGCCTTCCCCTCACAGGCAGGACAGGTTCAGGCCCAACTCCAGGCGTCCATCTCAGAACACACGTATGCCTATCCCAGGCAGCAGGACTAGCTAAGACACATTCGGCAACACACAATCTACAAGGCCAGGGCCTGGGAGGAAGAGATGCAAGCTCAGCCCCAAATAGTTATATCTTTCACCAGCATGCACCACTGGCAATTAACCTCCTAGTGATTGGCCAGGGAGACACAAAATGTATGACCCAGCCTAAGGTTGTTTAGATGAGCATCAGGCTCCACCCCCCTCTAAAAAGTAATCCATGATAAATCGCTTTTCACAGGGTGGTAGAGCAGTGGCAATCCGGCATTCTGGTGTTGATATTGCCGCCTGCCGAATGCCAGTTTTTTGGGGATACCAAGGGAATTTTTCATGAAACTATTGTGCTGCAACCGTGTGCAAAATAGTCCCATTCATCGCTATGGTCACGTTTGGCAGGTGACACTGCCTGCCATATGTAACATGCTGCATCATTTTTGCTGTGCCATGAAGCAAAGCATCGCGGTCATGCCATTGTATACTGCACTGTCCCGCTGCAATACTAACACTGCAGTAGGCAGCTGGGGAGCAGTAAAACCACGGATCATCCACTTGATTATATCTCCCTGCAGCCACCCGTCTAATCAAGCCATTTTGTATCATCTTGCTCCATTGCCAGGGTCACACATCAGCAGCAGGCAGAAACAAACATTAGGAAAATAGCGGCTAAAATCTAAGTGGCTGCTGTAGATTTTCTAGAAGATTGAAGGGAATTACCGATCATGAAATATACTCTGTGTTATGTGGATGTAGTTGCATGTATCTCCCATTATTGTAACCTAAACACTGACAGATTTGAGAACTTCCTGCATTATTGTTATTAGAGCGCAGTAAACTGAAGCTGTTTACCCATCGGGGACATAAAACATTCATGCTTTAAAAGCTTTTTGAGGAAAGATATGACATTAACTGATACATTCCGAAAAACACATTTGTGTGGCTCGCAGATCATTGGCTTTACATTTCCTGTAAGCAGTTTGTGGGCTGAATGTGTCATACAGCTGACTCATATGTAGTACCGTTTTTTAATAATGTTAAATTATATATCCTTTTTCTACAGTGAGAGATAGATTATTGTGGCACGTCAGGAGACACTGTAGTCCTTTTACTGTATGTAAGTAGATGCTGTTAAATGATTAGTTATTTTCATACAATGAGGTATGCATAGAGGGGGAGTACCACTTATCACAAAGAAGACAGAAGATTCTGACTTTTTTTTTTGTATGCCTGCTTAGGGTGTTACAATTACTTCATCGCATTATCCAAAGAAGATATAACACCTCTGCTATGTTATGGGTTACAACCATGTCAACAGATAACCTCATGACAACAACATCCAAAGAGAAGAAGTTGGGCCTGTTTGGAAATGTTTGCCCTCTAGTCTGTTGTTCTTTGTTGGTGAAGCGGAAAGTGTGAAGTGTGATCCCAACTTATTATGAAACAATATTTGATGATGAAAATTCTTCCCAGTAAAGTACTGTTTTAAAACTATCTGTGAATCTACTCTGAGTAAAATCTAGGAATAGAGTAGATAGGTCAAAAGTGCAGGTGAATAACCTTTTGGCCTTTCAAGCATGGAAATGTGTGCAGCGTTATCATATGTTAATGGTTTCCAAAATTGTTATTCTTCTGCATTATATACAGTATATAAATAGTGAACAGACACCTTCTGAACATTAACTGCATTGTTTTATATTGATGCATCTCAGATGTGTTCCTAATAGACCAAGAATGCCTCTGGGCACACATATAAAATGTTGAGGAGCTGGTAAGATACAATGATGACTGGTTTGCAAATCTCTGTTGAAGACTAATATAATCTTTTTAACTACACACAAAAAAATTGGTCTAAAAACTGTAATGTCACATTATCATGACATGACTGAAATAGATATCCAAAACTGGATTATGCATAACATGCATCATGTCCATATCTTGAAAGAGGACTTGGGACACTCAGTAGAAGAACTAGGGGAACTTGCTCTGGGTGCCTGGGTATAGCGACGTCGCTGATGCAACTTACAATTGAATGGTTCTAGAAGACTCTGGGACCATTTGACCCATTTATTTTTATATACAGTAATACCTTGGTTTACAAGTAACTTGGTTTGTAAGTGTTTTGCAAGACAAGCAAACATTTCTGAAAAATTTTGCCTTGATATACAAGCGATGTCTTGCAATAAGAGGAACATTTTTTAGAAAAGCACCACCGAATAAGGCTGTAGCAGTGCGAGTGATGAGTCTGTTTAATGACAATGCATGTCACATTGGATAGATTCCTTGTTAAGGTTTCACGAAATGAAAAAGATTCCATTGAGATAGCAGTGATTCCGCTAGTGATAGTGAAAGTCGTCCTACACAATAATCCTCCTCTCTCTTGTCCCCCTCACACCAGCCACAAAGGTACCGGTAATTGGTTTATTTTTGTTTATATTTTGTACAGTATTATATTACAGTACAGTATTGTAATCATTTTTACATGATTATTTTTGGGTTGTGGAATAAATCATCTGAATTTCCATCATTTCCTATGGGGAAATTCGCTTTGATATACAAGCGCTTTGGATTACAAGCATGCCTCCTGGAACGAATTATGCTCGTAAACCAAGGTATTACTGTATGTGAACGAAAACAATATGTAGCAATACATTTACCTTTTCTCATTTTTTTTCTCTCAACAGGCAGAGAGATATGTGTGGGTTAATAGCACATCAGCTCACTCCCAAAATGTTGCCAAGGCGAAATACAAGTTCTTGTTTGGTGAGCCACTGCCAACAGAGGAGGAGAAGGTACCAGAAACAAGTAAGTAAATAGTTTAAAATGCAAGCCATGAGTAATTATTAAAGTAATCTTAAAAGGTGCAGGGTCATATTGATAAATGATAAAATATGGGCCTAAGGGAGTTGCACCACTCTACTAGTAAATAGTAATGGTAAGTGCAAAACATAGTAAACTATTTGAAATTAGGTGTGGCGGAAATCACTTTTAAACATTTTCTGGCTAGCAAGACATCTGAGTAGCATATACTTTGCGTGCTTTAATACCAGCAGTCAGTGTCTAAGTGTTCTAGTAAGAATAGAAAGTAATATAGTAGTTATGATGTGTAATATGGACATTTGTATGTTTGCTATAAATAGTATATGGTGAGGCCAAGCTGCCAGCATTTGTTTTTTTTTTTTGCTTTTATCCATCCACAAGCCAAATGTTCAACTGTGTACCCAGATTTCCTTTCGTATTTCACTGTGCAATATGTGGACTCTTCAGAGGTTTGCTGAGGAATCCAAGTTTCTGTCTGGGATGAAGGGTCCATACTGGGAGGTTTGAGGGCATGGAGCTGACATTTGAGATGGCATTTGACAAATGGAGGATATGTATCTTACAGTGCCTGTCCTGGATAAATATTGCATTTCCTGAAAAAAGGTTTAGGCTAGGTTCACACCAGATGCAGTGCGTTCCGGCCTGATTGTGGCCGGAACGCACTGCATCGCATTGAGTGAATCCGGACGGAACGCACTGCATCTGGTGTGAGCCTAGACTAGAAGTGACAGTAAAGTCAGGAAAATAAACCTCAAAAATGCTTACCAATCTCCTAATAATATTAATATTACAATTTGTATTGAGATTGTAGTCCATCGCAGTAATACAGAAATAAGATACATTTTTGTTAATAGTTAAGGTACTTGACTGTTTTTTTAATATTTAACTCCTGAGTTTAGTGTCACATTAAGTATTGTTGTTCTACAATAATAAAAGGGCATGCTCTATCTCTATACCTACACCACGCCTAGAAATTATATTTACCACCACCAGGACTTATAGAGAGTAAAAAAAGGTCCCCTTTCCTGCCAGGACTGTGCAACGTGTAAATCTCAAGACTGCATTGACAGAAATACAAATCCTTTTGGCAGATAAAACAGCTCTTTTATATGTATTTCATCAGTGATTTTGGCTGTTTGCCTCGACTTCTGCTTTAAAAGATGTTTCAAAAAAAGAACAAACAGTGATGCTGTTTGTACAGATCTCAGTGTTTATGGTAGAAAGTGGAAAATCTTTTAAAATCCATTGCTTGCACAGTATTAAAATAACGGATTATCTGATAACTGGAAAATGGTACTGATCCAATGAGCTTTCATTTACTGTGATTGTTATGTGGTGTGGGCATATTAAAGGGTCAGTCCAACTACAGCTAATTTTTCAAAAAGGTGTAAATACTGGCATCCACTGACATATTTTATACTTCACACTGTAGGACACTATCATATCACATCCCCTGCATAATGTGATTATCTCACCAACAATATTCTCAAGAAGTAGAAAATGGTGTTTCATATACCTTTTTTATTTAATAAAACAAAAATCAATATATTATTATATAGTGCATAGACATTTTAGATAATTGTGTTTATAGTATGGGTATGGTTTTCTAGTTTTCTATGGGTATGGTTCACACCTTTCCGTATTTCAGTCCGTCTGAACGCGCTACAAAACGGCCTACGCCCAAAGAAGTACATGTACTTCTTTGGGGCGTTTTGGTCTCGCGTTTCCATTGGGATACAGCCAAGTAGCCCTCGGAAACGCGCGTTTGTCGCGCGGTTTTTGAAACACGCGACAAACGCGCATATTCCATACGCCTAGGTGTGAACCCAGCCTTAGGCAAGAAAAAAGGAAAACATACTTATCTTAAACCACATTTTCTGGTCCCCTCACCTGTGTTCTGGTTACATCAGTGCTCACAGTCGGATTCTGGGAAAGCTGTGGATGCCAAATCTTATGAGATTGTGCGATACACAATTTTTTAAAAATATGAATGTATCAAAAATCTTAAGCTGCTTGGAGAGATCTTGGTACTATGATCAGGGGTGAATATAAAATAGTGCATATATTTGTTTGCAGTGCTTGTTCTAGCCAACAGATAAGGCTCTAGCTTGTCTTTTACATCTCGGCTTTTTTGCTGCAAGAAGCACCTTATGTATATAAATTACTAATACACTTAATAAAATATAATATAACATTGGCACACAGCCATTTTCTCTTTAACACACTTTTAAGGTCAGAATGGCACTGTGCAGTGTTCTGAAGACATCCTGCCCTAGCACCAGTCAGCTCCTGCCCACATATTAGATCTAAAGTCAGGAGCAGGAAATGAAGGAATGTACAGTACAGTCTTTACAGTGTTATTTGTATAAATAAACATGTAGAAGAGATCTGCTTGATGTAAGTAATCTTTTTGCAGCAGGGTTCTTGACGCCGGCTGGAGATTTGAAATCTTAAAAGCAGCTTTATATGCCCATAAGGCAGAAGCGCATACGGCATGACCAGTATTGCAGCCAAACCCTTGGCTTCCTGGCATTTGTCCACAGAGCTCTCAGCCTATTGATTAAACATGCATAATGTAATACAACATTAACACAAATTTATTACAGAATGCCACAAAATATATACACTATTTACAATTCAATATACAAACACCATCAAATAGGTTGCTGAGAAGCCTCAAAGAAATATTCAACTTTGTCATAATTTAATCTTCTGCTCTTGACTCCGTTTCTTAACCCTTAAAGTGACACTAAATGTAGAAGGTAAATCTTAAAAATGCATTCAAATACCCTATTAACAAAAATTTACCTTATTTCTGTATCACGTGGCTGTAGATGCTCAAATCATTTCTGAATTGGTGCTGTCACTGTGTTGCCTTCTGGATGGTGGCTACTTTTGTTCCCCATTGGCCCCTGTGTGTGTTGTAAAGTAGCCACCGCTCCAAGCTCACTTATGCGATGGATTATAATCTCATGTTTAGTTTACTAATTTGTATTGAGATTAAAGTCCATCACCTGAGCAAGCTTGGAGGGGTGGTTACTTTACCACACACAGGGACCATGGGGAACAAAAGTAGCCACCCTCCAGAAGGAAGGACAGTGTCCGCACCAATTCAGAGATGATTTGAGGATCTACAGCTGAGTGATACACAAATAAGATACAATTTTGGTAATAAGGTACTTGAATGCATTTATTTAAGATTTAACTACTGAGTTTAGTGTCACCTTAATCATGCTGGGTGATTTAAGCACCATATAAGGGTGTTTTCAGCTTTTATACATTTAGGAAAGAAAGAAGCAAAAGGGTTTGCTTGCCAGCATAGGAAAAGGAATATCAGAAAAAGGAGAAAAAGAAAGAAATGATTCAACATTCACAGCTATGCAGAGCTAAAACAAGTTTAAAATGTAACCTCTATTTCAATTATCAATGTGTTGCTGTTAAAAAAATAAAATAAAATATATATATATATATTGTATATGGGAATTATATTTTCTCATTACATACATACAGGTTCTGCATTTTGCTTTGCAGTGTTACACCTAACGTCTATATTTCATTAAAAAAAATCATAAATCATAAATAAACCAATCCTGAATAAACCATTCCCATGTGTGCAAATAATAGCAACATGCAAACATATAGGCAAATATGTATGTGTATGTGCAATAACAATAATTGCTTAGTGCAACATAGTTCAAAGCTATTTCCTTTTGCAAGGTCCTTTTCTCCCCAGCATGAATATCAGCGAGTTTTCTAAATCAGTCCTTAATGCAATGCATGGTCTTTTTTTTTTTTTAAACTACACCCTTTTCTCCTCCAAATGACACAAAACTCTTTCCAATCAATCACTACTATAGGTGGAGCACCTCGTCCACCAGCTGCTCCAGAGCTTTCCTTCTGCATGTAGTGACTTCCACCTCCTCTGTAGGCCCTACCCAATACGTTTCACCACCTGGACATCATCAGGAGCAGTCATCGAAACTCAGTGGACGGAGTCTACGATCGGTGAAGCCATTACATGCAGAGGAGGTGGAGGCACGTGACAGGAGGAAGCTGTGGAGCAGTTATGTGATCTACCTATAGTTATTTGAAGAATTCAGCCCTTAGTACTGGTAACCCACTTATGTACCTTGGTACAGACCTGGGGCTTTAGGAACAGTCTGCAGGAGCCTGAACATTGCACCCACAATCCACTGACCACGATTGCAAGGCTTTGCAGACTCCAATGCAAAGAATTATAAATGGACATTTTTCATTTTGCAGTATGGTTGCATTTATACATTTTATGCAGCAAGTACAATGTGACTTTTATGGACTGATTTAGGACACTTGCTGATAATCCTTATGGGAGAGAAAAGGCGTTTGGAAATTGTATTGTCCTGTTATTGCGCTTGATGTTTTTGCACATACACTGTATATTTGCACAGATTTTAGTTTTTTGCATGTTCACACAATTTTGCTATTTTTTGCACAGATTTATATGACATTTGCACACATTTAAATGGTTTTATTCAAGATTCAACTATTTTATGCTAAGTGCTGTTTTTAATGTCATGTTTTCATTGGTGTATCACTTTTTTGATATTAATACAGTTATTAGTGATTTAGGTATTTGATTTTAGCGCAGACTTTTACATCTACAACTAACATCATCTATTTATTCCCAGTAGTGCCATACTTGCCTCACTGAGCACTGGAGTTTTTAAATTCAAGGACATGACAAAAGAAACCACTAATCCACATTTGTAATCAAGCTTTGCTGTGTGGTCTCTTTTTCGCCTACTGCTGCTGGTAGCAGGAGGCTTAACCGAGTTTTCAGTCAAATACTTTAATCTTTTTGCATAAAAACCTGCACTGGACATGTCATTTAGGTGGACCTGTCATAAAAAATCACATTACATGAATCAAAAGGGCACTATAGGCATAATCAAAATACATGGCTTATTTCACATGTACTGTATTGGTTGAAATATTCCAAATTATGG